CACACACACACAAAAAACACCAAAAAACAGACAAATTTATCTTTCTCCCACAGAGAGATTGGTGGGTTCAAACTTCCAGACTTTTGATTAACAACCAAATGCTTTAACCATCCCACCACCAGAGCTCCTTAAACAAACCCATTAACCTTGTTTAATTAAAATATATTTACTGATCACCTCCTCTGTGCCAGACCCTAGTCTGAGGTTGAGAAATAGGCACAAACAGCAAAACAAGTCCCTGCTGTCAGGAGTTCACATTATAATAGAAAGAGACAGGCATAAACAAACACAAATACGTCACAATATAATAAGTGTTCTGTTAGCATTCAAAAGAATTTTTATATTAGAAAACGCCTTGTATTTAGATGTGTCTTGTATATTAAAAAAGAAGAAAGTAAAACAGTGGCTTGTATATGAAAATAGTGATTAGCATGAGTTAGCATGTAAAACAAATCTAACATTTCAATTCTGAAGGTGAAAGGCTCAGCAATTTGGTGGCAGCTCAAACAATCAAGACTGGAAAGGCCATGAGGAGGAGAAGTGAGTAAAATTTGTCTTGGAGGGAAAAAAGCCCTGGTGGTACATTGCTTAAGCACCCAGCTGCTAATGTAAAGGATGATGGTTCAAACCCACTGAGCATCTCCAAGTAAAGAAGACCTGCAATCTGCTCCTGAAGAGATTCCAACCAACCCACCCTACTGACTTTCCAGTCAGCAGTGTCTGCGCTGACTCACAGTGACAGTCTGCCCAGTTTGTGATGCTTTCAGTCTTTACTGGAGGAAACTGCCTGTCTTTCTCCCTCAGAATGGCTGATGGATTCGAACTGCTGACCTTTCAGTTAACACTACAGCACTTAATGCACTACACTGCTACAACTCCTTCCTATAAAGATTGTAGCCTAGCTATGGGGGAGAGAATAGTCTAAAAGTATTATAATTTAGGGCATTATTTTTATCGTAGGAGTATGCAATGAGGGTTGCAGAGTGGATTATATTTGGGGGTAGGGGGTGGGGTTTGGGG